TTGACTTTTTCCTCAGGGCGATGTATGACTAGAACTGCATAAAACCAAATATTATATATCAGATTCTTCAAAACAAAAATTCTTAGTTGCAATACGACACTTAAAACAATAAAATTTTATCAAAATAAGCAAAAGATAAATTCTAAAGGAAGGGATTAAAAAAGCATATTTTCGTTCTATAAATAAAAAAATAAAACGCTCTGAAAAATATTGAAAAACCCAATTGAAATATTTTCTGTCAAGAAAAAAAATCAGTTTATGAAATAAAAACAATCGTTCCATGGATATAATAATAATATATGAACATATCACACATATGTAGTATATTATTGAAATATATATATCTTATTTTTATTATTAGAGCTATTAAATTATTGTATATAATATCTGTAATTTTACTGTAAGATATATTTTTAATTGTCGATCATTAAAACACGATAATCGTGAGATATACTTATATTGACATATAAGATTCACACCTACTTTTTCTGCACCGTAATAAATCAGAATGTTGTTATATTTACTAAAAATAGTATAATTTGATAACTTATATCTTGTAGTATAAATAATATTATAATTATACAAACAAGTATTAATAATATATAAATATAAATTTTAAAAATTAATTATTGTTCATTAAATCAACAATGTTAATTATTATCTAGAAAAATTATTGTCTAGAAGAACTATTATTCTAGAAGAATATGACTTAAACAATATGATTTATATTTAGTATAAACTATACTAGATCGATCGTCAATATATACTGCATCCCGTACTATAGAATCTAATACTATATTTAATCTAATACATTATTATTTCATATTAACAAATGATATTTAATACTGCGACCTGGAGATGTATTGCCCTACTTTCATGGATTTAAGGTGTTTTTATACGGATAATTAACAATGTTTTTATTTTAATATTATTTCAAGAGTAATAAATAATTTTTCGATTATCATTAATTAGCGAATAAAGAATAAAATATTTATTGAAACTATTTTAAAAAGGTAGAAAACAATTTTATATATTGAAAGTGATATTGAATTAGCACCAACCTTTATAGTAAAATGGTATATGTAGCCATCTAGAATTTTATTTCCAATTAGAATAGTTTAAGAATTAGTATTAACTCTGATAATTTATTGACATTAATACCTTCTGCAAAATATGACAGCAAAAGTATATATAAAAGGATACCAGAATTAGTTATGCTCTTAAAAAACTCTTTATAAAATAGTGACTATTAAAAAAACACTCCTTATTACTTTGACGACTCGAGTCTCTCCCAATAGAAGTGATTTATTTTCATGATTACTTTTACATACCATAATAACATAATTTTTGTTTTTTATATGAAACATAAATGTATATATAAAAATAGGAAGTATATGAAATATTGAAATGAAATAATTAAGTTTCTCAACAGAATTTTTTCGAAAAACCAAAGTGTTAGAAGACGCTTCATGTCAAGAAAAATTAATTCTAAAATTTTTTCCATGCTTACTGATGTTAAATATATTCTAAATGTTTAAAAGAAAAAATGAAAAAAAAAATTTACTTTAAAACTAACAAAAAAAAGTAGACAAAAATAACAACAAAAAAAAAATTATAAATAGTTTTTCATTTTATTTTTAAAAACAAAAGTCAAAAAACTGAAAGTACCATCAGCATTTTTTATTTTAAATAAAACAAAAAATTTTAGAAAAAATATATACAACTATATTTCTGATTAAACCATAAAGTAATATAAAATATAAACAAATTTTACAAATATTGGCATATAATCAATATAATAATATATAAATTTAATATATAAATGAATTAAATATGCAAATGTATTAATAACTGTATAAAAACAATGAATGTGAATAAATGAATAAGTAAATATACATAAATACAATATATAAATATGTAAAATAAACAAATAAAGACGAAGAATAAATTTTCAATTACTTTTATTTTGTTTATTTCATTCATTCATTCAATTCATTTACTTAATAACTTATTAAATAAATTTTCCATTAAACGTCTGCATAAAAAATTTTATCAGAGGTTTGTCCGTGCTTTGTGGTTAGGCCATTTATATATAGTTTTATTTATCAGAAGAAAAAAAACAAAAAATAAAAAATTTTACAAAAACTGTATCTTTACATAATTAAAGGGGTGCTCACGGTTTCATATCCAAATATTTAATTAATTTGGAGTATTGACCTTTTTACCAAGTCAATACTTTAACTGCATTAGAACAGAATTTAACTTTTAGCAAAAGGATCTTAATGTGATTGATTTAAAAGATTTTCAGATTAACTAATAAATGGAAAATCACATGTTACTCTTTTACTATAACTTCAATTTTCTTTCAAAAGTAATTAATGATCAAATATTTTATAAAGCTCTTTTAATAAGCTAGGAAGTAAATCTGTGTTAAAACTGATATTGAATAAGAACCAGTCTTTATAGTAAAATAGTTTATGTAAGTAATTAATTAGTAATTAATGATCAAATATTTAATGAAGCTCTTTTAATAAGCTAGGAAATAAATCTGTCTTAAAACTGAAATTGAATAAGAACCAGTCTTTATAGTAAATTAGTTTATGTTGGTCATCTGGGATTTTACTTCAATCAAAATAATTTTAAGTCTAAACATTTAATTCGTTTAATTGTATGTTGATACAATATATTACAGCTGTTGTAGATATCGCAAAATATCCAGTATCAATGGTTTATCGAAATATATTGGTTTAATTCTTTGTATATAACTTTTGGATTATAAATGGAATTAGTTTTTGGAATTTCTGAAATTAATCAAATATTGACCGTGGTCTTAAAACTCTCATATTAACATAAAACTAAAAATTATATAAAGATAATTAAACAATAGATAAATCCAAAGACTACAGATGATGAATATTGATAAAAAAAATTGGTCTAATTCTAATATTATTTCTGAATTAAAAATAGAATTAGTTTCTGGAATTTCTGTTAACACAAAACCCAAAATTATATGAAGACAATTAAATTAATAGATAAATCCAGCAGACAACAAACACAATGACTACATTTATAGTAACACCAAAACAAAAATAAATAATAAGGACAAATCTAATATAGAGCACGAGCTGACTATAAAGGTGACAGGTACAATGTATGTAATAAAATACATGTATATATGTACGACTAAACACAAACTTAAGACAAGGATGGCTGGACATAAACATAGTATGCAAAATAAAGGTGGTGCTGAACCCAGTACAACATTGGTTATAAACTGTATTAACTGCAAACATGAGGGATATCTTGTTATGAGGCAAATTCCGAATAACAAGAGACTAAATTATAAAAGAGATACGAACAACTGTGCTCAGGCTTATAGAAATATTATAAACAAATGATACAGAATATTGTATATGTATTTTATAATTTGTATTCTCTTTTTGTTGTTGTTATTATTATTATTGGATTTATTAGGATTTATTTTTATTTTTAATATCTTAATTAAATATAATTTGTTTTAAATATAAATAACATATATATATATTGATCCTTTTTTCGAGTCAGCGCAACTGGGCACTTTTACTCTTTGATAGCTGGGGATACTACAGGGGCCCACCCATCTCATTGACTAATTTATGTATTGCCTATAAGCTTCATGATTATTCAGTGATTGATCTAAGATCTGCGTACTTCCCCGTGCGGAGAGTGATTACTCTAAGATTAGATAGTGGTAAGTAGGATAGCCTGTCAATTTTGCATATAACTGCAGGGCTCTGTCCCTTATGTGTTTTTTGATGGGGTCTATTCTAAGGTCTCTTAGCATGTCGTTTGTGCGGATGTACCAAGACACTTTGAAGAGCCTTCGGAGAGCCTGACTTTGAGCGACTTGTAGCTTTTGTATAGTAGAGTCGGTAGCTCTGCTATACGCAACACACCCATAAAGTAATGCTGGTCTAATTATCTGGCTATAGATCAGTTTTCTGTTCTTTACGCTAAGGTTGTTGTGTTTGAAAAGTGGTTGTAAGCATTGCAGTGTTTTAGCGCAACTGCTTCCTTTGACTTGTATATGCTTATGCCAAGTGAATCGCTTATCAAACGTGATACCTAAGTATTTAATGCTATCCTCCCAATTAATCACGATGTTTTTTTATTTTTAATTAAATGACCAATTAGCCCGCTCATAAATTATTATATAATTCCAAACACTACAAATTATAGAGATATTTGGTAAAAATTATTTTTAAATTTAAAATTTTTTTTCACTACTACTCCATAAATAAATATTTTCAAAACCACATATAATGGATATTGGGATATTCGAAACAATTATATAGTAAAAAATTTTATTTTTAGATTTAAAAATTTCCTCACTAGTACTCTGTAAGCAAATATGTATAAGTAAATAAAGTATATACTATATGTGTATTTACAATAATAAAATAAATTTTAAAAAATAAATATAAAATTAAATATAGTGTAGTTCTCTTCATATAGTTAGCTATATTAAATATTTATGTAGTTACCTTTATTATTAAATAAACTTGGAGAGCCAAACACTTAAAATTCAAAACAAACACTAAAAATACACAAAATTATTAAAAAAAAAATTATTGCACCTTTAGTTTTTTAATTTTTATTGATTTGTTTAATATTACACATGTTTATATATATTTTTTTTTATTCTTTTAGAAAATCGTAAATAAAAGATAACAAGATCACTTAATTAATTTTCAACCCAAAGCTATAAAATGTATTGCACCAACAACAACAAGAACAACACCAACAAAAACTTACAAACTAAAATAATCAGAACGCAACACTGAAGATCAACAAAAGAAAAACAAGAACAAAACAAAGAGTAATTGTTTGTTATTGTTTTTTTTTTGTTTTAATTTTTGTATTATTTGTTTAATTTATTGTGGAAATGTGTTCCACAATAAAGAAATTTCTATTCCTTTTTTCAATAAAAAACAATTTAAAAAAATATAAATTTATTTCACCTTTTAAATGTTTTTGTTTTAGTCAAGGTTGGTTACTCAACTGTGTCAACTCAAACGAAAGGAAAATTTCAATAAATTAATAAAATAAATATTAAGGAAATATGTTAATGACTTTAAAATATTTTCCAAAATTATTGTCACAATAAAATAATAATATTTTTTCGTTTCTGATAAATTGTTTTAAAAAAAAGTATAACACGTTGCACGTTTTAATAGTACAGAAAAGGTGCTATAAAACCACTTTAAGGCGCCCAACGAATCAAAAGAAATAAACAAGACTCAACGAGAGCCAACGAAAGACTGATATTTTTCGGCAAACGATCGGCTTGAAATGCAACAAAAATGTGTACTTCGCCAGCTGTGAAAAAAAAAGCAAATTGTGTATTGTGTAAAGTTATTTGTGTAATTGCTGCAACTTCAGCAAGAGTAAATATAAGAGGGGAAAAATGCAGCTATTTGAAGGCATAAAATAAATTGAATAAACAAGTTAACAAAACTTTATCAAATTGAAATTTTTACATGATATTTTGTACATAAAATAATTTTATTAAACATTTTTGTTTACTTGGTTTTAGTTCCCAATTTGATATTCAACGTAAGGCTCACTCTTTAAAAACAACAATGTTCTCTTTTCTCTCTTTTGGTAAGCGATAAATGTGTGAATGGGTAAGCAATACCGGCAAATGATTTTATGAAACTTCCAGTTTGTTGTTGTTGTTGTTGGTTATTCTTTTGAATGTAAAACTGTGTTGTGGTTAAACGATAACGCACAGAAGTGGATGGTCGTTAGATGTTTATTTTCTGGTCTGCCACTTTTGCTGTTATTAATTTACTGTTGTCAACAGTTTTTTTCTTTCTGTGTTGGTTTTTTTATTCTTGTTTTATTATTATATTGCATTACAATGTGTTGCCTTCTAAAAACAACAACAATCCACTTTTTTAACATAAAACAAGTTTGCACTGACACTGCTCTTGTCTAATATTAGCTTTTCGGGTTTTAATTAAAGAAACATGTTCATGCATGTCTCGAAAGAATTTCAAGTTCAATTAAGAAAAACTTCAATTAAATTAAATAAAAGTGCTATGCATAAGCACTATAGTAGGAGTTAAAAACCAATTTGATAAAAGGCTTAAACTGATATTATTAGGTAATTAAAAATAAGTAATTAAAAATTTTAAGAAATTTTTTAGTGACTATATATTAATAGTCATACTGAATCGTACTATTGATTCGGTGTAACTATAAATTAGAAGATGAATTAATATACATACATATGTTACATATGTACATAGATTTATTAGTAAGTATTTTATTATTATTATATTATTATATCTTATTAACATCGGTTTTTTTTCAGATATAAAAATTTAATATACATACATACATACATATGTATGTATGTATATTCAATTATATATTATTAAATATTTAATATAATTTGTGATATTAAATTATAATACACCCGGCCGTTTACGGTCACCTCGTTTAACGACAAACTCGCTTAACGGCCTAACCATATTTATGATCATATTTCTCGGTTAACGGCCAAGAAAAATTATACAATGGGGTTTCAGTTTTTGACCGTTATGGCTCAATGGCTGAAATTCATGTTTTTTGCATTCCTAAAAGGTGGTCATAGTGGATTTAAGTCTCACGCTGTAGCTTTAAATGTTTCTAGCTACCAGAAAAAAAAAATTATCATTCCTTCTTTCCTTCTTCTTCTTTCTCCTTCTTTTCTTCTTCTTCTTCCTCCTTCTTACCTTCTTCTTCTTACTATCTTCTTTCCTTCTTCTTCTTTCCTTCTTCTTCTTTCCTTCTTCTTTTTTCCTTCTTTCCTTTTTTCTTCTTTCTCCTTCTTTCCTTCTTCTTGTATGTCTTCTTGTCTTCCTTTTTGTCCTTCTTTTTGAACTTTTTCCCCGTCTTTCTTATTCCTTTAATCTTCGTTACTCCCGAACTTGCACCGCATCTTTCTCTTCGTCCCAACCATTCAGCATAAACTTCTGATATGCCGCACCGTAACAATGTATCTTGTCACTTCTGTCAACATTCCCACTTTTTCAGTGCTATTGCCCATTTCTGAAGCTGATTTCCTGTCTTCAACCAATTGACGGCACAAATTTTCTTTTAGCAGGAAAATTCAAGTGGGATTATGAAACTTCTCAACTTCGTCCATTCTATCTAAACAAATACTTATATTACTCAACTTTTTCACTTGTTGACGTACTTGCGATTTATCTCTTGCTAAAAGCTCTTCCAGATGCATAAATCGCATTTCCATTTGCGATGAATTTTGTCTCAGCCGTATCAACATTGGTCAGGAGTTCTCCCTCATTTCCGCTATCATCTGCGACATTGCTTTCGCATTTGTTTATTGACAGAACCCACATCTGGTACTAATTGTTACGAATTTGCCTTTTGCAACGCAATCTTGACTCGCTTGTTCGTCTTACTGGATTCAAAAACCATTAACTTTTTGTAAGAATATTCTTTCATTCATGTCAGGTTTTCACTGTTGCAAACATTCCTGCTTAAAATTGCACGTACTTATACTTAAATGTGTTTTAAAATAAATGAGAATTATAAATTCGTATTTATATTGTTTGTTTATATATGAAATTAATAATATAATTTTTTACAATAACAATATAAGATTGATATTAATATTAAAAATTTTATATATAATTATTATTACTTAACAATAATGTGATTGAAACCTAATTTGAACAAGATAAAATAAAAATATTAATATAACCAATACTTTTTAATATTTTCAATAATTCCTAGTATTTCTAAGTTACTTTGAATAAGTGTAGTTTTAATTTTTTTTTATTAATTTTTCAGAATTATAACATTTATTCGTACAATAATACAAATTGTCATATACTAGCTTAGGATATCCGTTAAATATGCCCTTAAGTATCTTAAGCATTATCTTAAGTTATCTTAAGATATTTTTATATGAAATTTGGTTTTTAAAGTTAAATATGGTGTGAAAAACTATATTATAGAATTTTTTTTTGGTTTTCGAGCAGTAATTTTTTCGAATTTTTGTTTAATTGAATTATTGGTCGACCATATAGCAGTTTCGAGTATTGCCAAATACTCATCTTCAGTGGATATTTATTTCATACAAATATTGATAAACAATTTTTGATATTGCAAGTACTAAAAAATGAATTTGTACCCAGTGAAATTTGAAGCTTAGAATCATTGTTAATAGATCGTGACTTAAGCCGTACTTGACTTCTAACTTGATCATTTTTTTGATCATGAAAAATAAAAACGGGTTTTATTGTAATTTACTACTATTTAAAAAAATATATTTTTAATTTCTTTTAATTGCTTAATATAGTGTTCTCAATGAATTTTTCTGTAATAATTAATATGATAAATTCATATGAAATTCTTGGATGGGACTTCCACTTATCATTTTAGGAAATGTAACAATTATCGCACTCATCAGCAATTCCTTCTCCAATAGAAAGATTCATAATTAATTTCAAAGAAATATTTGACAAAGTAGTACTTAACTTATTTGCATAGTTAACAGCAAACTTTTGCTTGAAATAAAAAAATTAAATGCACTTTACGATGTTTAATTAAACAAGCTTAATAATTAAAATGAATCATATGAGAAAAATAATTAAACAATAAATATATAATTTCTCCGACATGCAGTGAGTGAATAAAGATACTTTATATCAGCGCAGAGAACTGATTAAATTCTTGCTATTTTTAATTCAGTGTTTGTAGTACTCGGAAAAGGTCAAATTTTATTACTTTATTGGAAAAGATGATTCCAACGTAATATAAAATTTTGTACTTTGAATAGTTAGAAAGTAAACACATAATATTATGATTTGTGTTGTTCAAAGACTAGTCTCAACAGATCTAAAATAGACTGTACAGAAACTTAGTTCTTATTTAATTTATATCATATTGTTCTTATCACTGAAGAACTTTTTCACTTATTAGTGAAAACTTATCTTACAAAAATCCAATCCCGGATACAAACGGATACTATCTTAAGTGAATAATTTTTCTAAAACCCATTTTTGATCATAATTTCAAATAATTCAACTCTATTGAATGAAACTACGTTGACTGACTATTAGAATTTACTTAAAGAAAGAATAAAATTCTTTCAGTGTCTCTTATAAATTGTAGTTCTATATTAAATTTAATTTTAAAGACAGTTATGATGACAGCAACTATTTTACTAAAGCGAAACTATCGCATTTAATAGAAAGGTTTCGATTAGTGGTTCAAAAGCCGTAGTTCTGTATTGTACTATTGTATTTAATAGATAGGTTTCGAACATTGGTTCGAAAGTAGTAGGTCTGTATCAAATTCTGATTGTTTTATACTCTTTCTTTAATTCTTTGATATTTTAGAAATTGTTTTATTCTTTTAAATGGATATCTCCATAAAATTGATTTTTAAATCGGTTATTAACTTCAAAAAACTTAAACTTTCTAAAATCGCTGAAGAAGGTATGTTTCGACATAAAAAGTATTTTCACAAGTAGAAATCAATTATCCTTTTTCTAAACTAAAAATATAGACTATATAATCTGTATCAAATTCTGATTGTTTTATACTCTTTCTTTAATTCTTTGATATTTTAGAAATTGTTTTATTCTTTTAAATGGATATCTCCATAAAATTGATTTTTAAATCGGTTATTAACTTCAGAAAACTTAAACTTTCTAAAATCGCTGAAGAAGGTATGTTTCGACATAAAAAGTATTTTTTGCTGCAAATGCGATATAGAATTATATCTGGAATATATGCATCTAAATATGTATATAAAATAATTTAAAAAAAAATATATTTTCACAAGTAAAAATTAATTATCCTTTCTTTTTTTATCCTAAAAAGAAACGGTTGAGATACCAAAAAAAATATAGCCTATATAATAAGTAAATAATATCAAATTTTTAATATCCGTTAAAACATGTTTCTAAATCTACATAATCATTAAGTAACTATATTTTTCACTTTATTAATGGTAATACCTACAGTAAATAACTACAGAAAATACCTACAGCCATTTAATTATCACACCGTCGAAATTATAAAAAAAAAATACATCTATGAAAAAAGATAGGTTA